AAGGAGAAAACCAACATCCAGAATGGATACGCAACTTGCCCAACGCCACCCAGCATGTCGGTGCACGGCACACCAAGAAAGAATGCTGTAACAGCAAGCACATGTTGGTGATGTTTATAATTTTTCCTTGTTGGGGTTAATCCCAGAAACACTTCTTTAGTTCAGAGAGGTGTTATATAATTTACCTTCTACTTTGGCAGCAGCACTTGTTCTGCTGGTAAGACTGAAATAAATGGGTTCGCATTCCCTAACCACAAAAGGACAGAGATGGAAAGGCACATTCACCACACATAGCCAGCCAAATTAGCAAAGCTCCCTAGGAGGCCGCTGGAAATGCCTAAAATGCTGAGGGACTCTGGCGGGGTGGCGAGAAGAGAGAGGACAGCATTCCCCCTCTAGAGGGAGGAGCTGAGGACTCACTGAGAACCGGCCAGAGCTGCCAGGAGGAAAAGGCCAGAGAAGGAAAAGAATTTCAATGAGCCCTGGGAACCTCTGCTCCCGCAACAACCGAACCACGATAGACAGCCTGGCAACAACAACCCTCCCAGGATCCTGGGATCCAGAGGAGATTAAAAACTGTTCTGCAATCTGAGTACTAAAGAAAACGTCTTCCCACACTGACCAAAGTGAGTTCCCAATAAAGACAAGAGCTCACCTGCCCTGACTATCACCTCCCTTCCCAGCCAAGATCCTGACCAGCGGCCACCCCAGGTCTCAAGAGGAGGGCGGTTCCGGGCATCACGTGACATTGCGGCCACGTGACCCCGGCCCCGCGGGAGTCAAGCGGTGAGTCCAGTTCCGCGAGTCCGAGGCGGGCCGGGCACGCCCTGCCCCCAGCGCGCCGCGACCATGCTGTCCCGCCTGCTGAGAGAACACCAGGCCAAGCAGAGTGAACGCAAAGAGCTGCAGGGTGAGCTGCATGCCCAGCCCGCCGTTTTCTCTCCCTCCGGGGCCTCGCCTCAGCCCGGAGCCTGGATCTCGAGTAACGGCCCGGATCCGGGGAAGGGCGCGGGTTGGGGGGAGGAAATGACAGGAGCTTTGGTGGGGGGCAGTTCCGTCCCCTGCCGATGGCCCCGGTCCCTTCAGCAGCATTAGCGTCCCCCTAGGCAACGCCCCCAGCGCCCTGGCCGCAGTGTCCCAGCCCCGCCCCCTGCCCACGGAACGCTGCGCCGATTGGTCCAGGGAGCCGCTCGTCCCGGAAGTGGGACGGAAACCTCCCGAAGAGAGGGAGGGTGTTGAGGACCCGACAGGACTGGGATTCCCGGAGGCCTGAAACTGCCGAAATGGGGATGGGGCCGTTGTGTCCTGAATCGAGGCTGGGAACCCCCGACTTACCAATCTTTAGGCCAGACCAGTGGGGGAAATGTGCCCGAGAGTCTGGAGTCGTGGTCGCTGCCAAGGACTCGGCGTCCCTGGGCGAATCGCTTCCCTTCTCAGGCCACCAGTTTCCTCACCTCGAAAGTGAGAGGGCTTGCTTTATGTTTTGCAAGGCCCTGTTAGCTCTGGCACTCTGGAATGACTTCAGGTGTTCCCATAGCTAGCAGAATAGTAATGAATGGGTGGGGAACCTTAAGCTTCACTCCTCAAAAAACCAAGTCTCCTGTCTAATCCCTTTCCCCCCTCCACCCAGAGAAGAGAAGGCGGGAGGCCATCACTGCAGCGACCTGCCTGACAGAAGCTTTGGTCGATCACCTCAATGTGGGGTATGAGCCTCTTCCCATCAACAGGAACACCCCTCCACCCAAGTTTAGGCACTGGCCTAGCCCTCAGGCTGCTCCTGAGGGGATGAGCTGTTCCCCTCATTCCCCTACCCTCCCCCACCCAGCTTAACTTCTATGGAGAGAGTCTTGAGTCAGCTCTGACCCCTAACATTGGGCAGGGGGAGCAGCTGTGGCCGGTGGAGAAGCAGCAGGATTTCCCCTTCCCAACAATAACCTCCCTGGCGCTCACGACTTGATGCCATCTGGCCGTGTCCCTTCACCCCTCCAAGTCCAGCTGTCACTTCCAGTCGGAGGGAGAGCACCGTCCTTCCCCACAGCTTCCCACCCTCTCCTTCTGCACGCCCCACCCTCTGGCAAGTCTGGAGAGCAACTGGCAGGAAAGAGATGACACAGCTGGTGAGGGTGAGGGCAGAACCTGTGCCAGGAGCCACCGCAGAGCCAGGCTGACAGTTCGCCATCCTTCCGGGTCTCCAGAGACCACCCCTTGCTCCCATCCTAAGTAAGGATGCCAGTAATGACCAGATACATGGGAAGGAGTAGTGAACATTGTCTCTTGATCCTAAGTGACCCAGAAAAGTGCAGAGATGGTGATTTGATAGCCAGGCCATCTGTTGGGAGAAAGGAGGCTGTGTGATGCCTTCTACCCAGGGCAACTGGCATAGCTTGGTGGTGAATTCAGAGACTGAGTCACCCAAGTGAGCCAGGCAGGGATGATCATCTTCATTGCTCATCTCGGGCAGATTAGGGGAAGAGAAGGCTGTGGTTGGGACCTCGGATCCCCCCTCTAGTTCTACCCCTCCACTCAGAGTGAATGAGAGAAAGCAGAAGCTCAATGGGAAACATGGGGATTTCAGGAGCTCCCAGGGGAAACTGAAAGCATTGGGAGCCCCCTGAGATTACTGTTTCAGCTCCTGTAACACCCCACTCTGTGACCCAGCTGTCTCCCAAAAAGAAGGGGCAGGGCCGGCGCCTCCTAGGCTCTGCTGTGGGGTTGGCCCGGGCTTCTCCCGCTTCACTTGCTTTGCTCGGGGCCACCCTACGTCCAGCTTAGAGGGCAGCTAAGCCAAAGCCAGATTAGAAAGCCTTTTGTGTTGCCGCCCACAGCTCCTCTCATTCCCGGGAGAGGAAAACAAAGGCTCAGTCTCAGCGCCTGTCAGGTGTCCTTCCCACTCTCTGGAACCCACCCCGCCCCCCGCAACCCCCTTGCTCCCCTCCAGCCCCCACAGATTCCAGTGGGTGGGGGTACCGGATGTGGAGTCTCCCAGCTGACCTAGAGCTTTGGGGTGGAGAATGAAAGATTCAGCAACCAATTAGGGAGAACAATTGTTGCACAATTATTGCGAGAATGGGGGTGAGTGGGCAGAGGACTGGGGATACCAGCCTCGTGGCAGTAATGGAACTGCAGCGAACCGTGATTGAGGAGAAAAGAAAGACTGTTGCCTAGAGCAGAAGGAAGACAGAGAGAGCGCGTGTGTGTGTTCGTTCATCTGTGTGGGCGAAAGGAGGACTGGGAGAGAGACAGAGCCAGGAAGCAGCCCTAGGGATGTCTTCTCTTGACCCTAAGTTCCTGGGGAGGGGGTTGCTCTCCCATCCCACCCTGGGTTCAGGGAGGGGCCCGATTTCCCTTCCCAACTTCTTGCACTGATCCCTGGCCTCCCAATCATTGCCAGATGTGTCCCTGCTGCTGGATTTTCCCAGCCTCCCCACAGCCCCTTCTCCCTCCCAGCTTCTTCCCCAGTGGTACCCCCTCTACCCCGCCGACCGCGTGCACCCTCCCTTCTCTCCCCCAGCCTTGGGAGCTCCTTTCGGGGCAGGAAGTGGTCTGTATCTAGTTAGCTTTCCTGGGAATCCTGGGAGTGGAAGGAAGGGACTGGGCTCACTTGCGTGCACTTGTAGTCACTTGCCTTACATCCAGGAATGGCCGAAATCCCAAGGTTCTCTCCAGCCTGACTCCTGAGCAGCCTGCCACTGCAGCCCTGGGATGTTAGTCCTGGAGACCACTCCCCACCAGGTGGGTGAGATGGCCTCCCCCCTCCTCTGACCTCTAGTGTGGCCCAGGCCTACATGAACCAGAGGAAGCTCGACCACGAGGTGAAGACCCTGCAGGTCCAGGCAGCCCAGTTTGCCAAGCAGACAGGCCAGTGGATCGGGATGGTGGAGAACTTCAACCAGGCACTCAAGGTAAGCCACACTGCCTGCCTCACCAGCCTCATCCTGTGACCCTACTGACTGCGCTCTCAGGGGCTCCCCTCTGGCCTGGGGTTAAGAAGGAAGTGGGGATAGTCCCAGAAAGCCCAGAAGTCTATGGCTTCAGTGCCACGGAAGTTAGAGGAAGAGGTAAAAGCAGCTGGCGAGTTCAAGCAAAGCCCTTTCTAGGGGAAGGATGGAATGTGCCCCCATCCAGCCCCTGGAGCCACACCCCACCCACCCTGACTCTTGGGCTCCCTTCCAGGAAATCGGGGATGTGGAGAACTGGGCTCGGAGCATCGAGCTGGACATGCGCACCATTGCCACGGCGCTGGAGTACGTCTACAAAGGGCAGCTGCAGTCGGCCCCCTCCTAGCTCCAGCTGCCCCCGCTTTCCCACTCCTCCTGCTTGCCCCAGGCGGGCAGGAGGGAGGCTGACCGCCCCTGAATAAAACACAAGCCTCCGTTTCTCTGTGTTTGTCTCAAGGACTACTAGCTTAGTGTGGGCGGCGGGGATGGAAGAGTCAAAGGCTCTTCCTCTTAAGAGACGCTACCATTTGGGTGTCTCTTTCGGGTAGGGACAGGGACTAGCTTCCTCTAACAGTCTCAAGTCTCTTCTCCTCCTCGGGCCTGGTACCTGTTGCAGGTACCTTCCCGGTAAGCAGACGGTGGGCGTTCCCCACCCCTCCCCAGGGAAGGGCAGTGGGCCCCATCCCAAGCCTCCCAACCCAGGACTTCCGTTTCTGGCAGAGGAGAAATGAGACGGGGAGCAGGCCTGGTCCAGCTCTGGCTCTCTGCCTGTCCGCGTGCTCATGGCCTCTCCCAGCCTGGTGCTAAGCAGTGTCATGAGTCTGGACCAGGTGGGAGATTAACTCTTGGGTGTGGGAGCACTTCAGGGCAGGGAGGGGGCGGACTGACAGGTCCAAGGTTACCAACAGAGGGGGGCAGCTGCCATCCTGGACAGATACCCTCGTCTTAAGAATCCGTGACAGAGGGAGCCAGGAAGCCCCACTAGAGCGGACCGAGCCCGGGGGGAGCCGGGCGCTGCTGGCTGGTGCCAAGTCCTGGCTTCAGCCCGCAGGCCCGGCTCCCCTGGCTCCTCCTCCCGCACCCCCGCCAGCCCCACGTGCACTTAATACTCCTGGCACCCAGTCCGCCCGCCACGGACTTTGGCCTTAGCTGTAGCTAGTGTGGGAGCCTGGGAAGACCTGGACCACAAGTCTCAATCAAAACCAAAGGAGCAGCTTCAGGTGCTGTAGTAGTTGCCAGCAGCTCTCCCGAGGAGGTAAGCGGGGTACTGGGGGGAGGGGTGGGCAGCGGCTACGAGGAGACTAGTGATACTGATAACTCACAGCCTGAAGCTCCTCACGTGTCCCCTCACACTTGACCCCCTCTGATCCTCCACGGCCCCCAGGTGGGCATGCTGGGTGTTAGCCCTACTTGGTAGATGAGAAAACCAGTCCAGAGCCACAGGGCGGCCCTCAGCCTCACACAGTAAGTTTGGAGCCACCAGGACTAGAGTGCAGGGGCCCCTTACGCGTTTCCAAAACCAGGGCTCAGCTGGCTTAGTAGGAGCTAAGAGGTGACAACAGGCAAGACCCCTCTGCTCCCATGCAGCCGGTCTGCGCACAGGACCCAGCTCGCCTTTCAGTTCAGCTGCCCAGACACAGGGTCTGCCCAGACCTTCATTTCGCTTAGATGAACCACAGTTTGTCTGCAGGTTATCTGCCAAGCAGGTAATTTGTCAATTTGCTCAGACCAGAGACTTCCAGCTAGGCAGCGATCTGAGGGGTGAGGGCCGGCGGGCCAGCGTCAACCAGACACGTCCCCCTGCCCTGCCTGGGCTGCCGCCTGCAGGTCACCGGGGCCCCGGCCATGTGGCTGCCTCTGCTGCTGGCGGTCCTGCTCTGGGCCGCGCTGTGGTTGCTCAGGGACCGGCAGTGCCTGCCAGCCAGCGACGCTTTCATCTTCATCACCGGCTGCGACTCGGGCTTCGGGCGGCTCCTTGCTCTGAGGCTGGACCAGAGAGGCTTCCGAGTCCTGGCCAGCTGCCTGACACCCTCGGGGGTGGAGGACCTCCAGCAGGTTGCCTCCTCCCGCCTCCACGCCACCCTACTGGATGTCACAGATCCCCAGAGCGTCCAGCAGGCAGCCAAGTGGGTGGAAACGCACGTTGGGGAAGCAGGTGAGTGTGGCAGGGGCCACGGGGACAGGCGTGAGAGGTGTGCACACACAGGTGCTGTGGGAAGCCAGGACTGTGTGGGGGGTAGCAGGGCTGAGCCTCCCGGGAAGGAGGGGCCATGGGAATGCCTCCCCGACCCCACGCCTCCCACGCCCCCACAGGGCTTTTTGGTCTGGTGAATAACGCTGGTGTGGCTGGCATCATTGGGCCCACCCCGTGGCAGACGCGGGAGGACTTCCAGCGGGTGCTGGCTGTGAACACGCTGGGCCCCATCGGGGTCACCTTCGCCCTGCTGCCACTGCTGCTGCGGGCCCGGGGCCGAGTGGTCAACATCAGCAGCGTCCTGGGCCGCCTAGCCGCCAATGGAGGGGGCTACTGCGTCTCGAAGTTTGGCCTGGAGGCCTTCTCTGACAGCCTGAGGTGAGGGGGCAGGGGCTCCGCTCCAACTCAGGGGGCCTGCTCAGCCAGCAAATCAGCAGCTGCCCATCACATGGCAAGGGAGAGTTTAGGGCTTAGGAGACAACTTAGGGCTCGACTTCCTGGGTTCAGACCCCAGCTTTCACTCCTGTGAGCTGGGTGACCTTAGCCACTCACTGTTTTTCCCCAGTTTGTTCCTCCTGTTAAACCGCGACGAGGCCTGCCTCGTGGGCGAGTAAGATGAGGGCACGTGTGAGGCTCCAGCAGACCCTGGTACATAGAGAATGCCCCCAAGTCCCACTCTCACTAGTGTGTTGTTACTAATGGTGACCAGCACTCACCGTGAGTACCTTTACGTAGCACTTTCTCGTTGAGCTCTCCCTCAAGTCCTGTGAGGCTGTGTCAGCGCCCACAGGGGATGGGCTTCCCTGGTGTCTCAGACAGCGGTGCAGGAGGCCCAGGTTCCGCCCCTGGGTCGGGAAGGTCCCCTGGAGAAGAGAATGTCTACCCACTCCATCATTCTTGCCTGGAGAATTCCATGGACAGAGAAGCCTGGTGGGCCACAGTCTGTGGGGCCGCAAAGAGTCGGACACGTGGAGGAACTAACACACACACACACACACCCAAACCCACCCAAGACCACACAACGGTGGGGGCACCGGCACACGTGCCTATAGAGCCTGGTCTCATGTCCTGCTGCCCCTTGTCTTTAAACAGTAACCTCCGAAGTCCCAGGAGCGCACAAAGGAGGCAGGACCTAGGAACAGGGACAGAATTTGGAACAGACCTTTGGTTCCCTCAAGCTGAGCCCGCCTTCTGAAGGAAGCCTTCCTCTGTCACTATCACTCAGCAAATAGCAGCAATATCCATTTTGTCCCTATGCCTGTCATTTAATTTTCCAATCAGCATCCCAGAAATAACTTTCAACTTGGACTTGGGTGATCTGTTCTGGGTACTCCCACTTTCCCCCAGCAAACACCAGTCTAACTTTTCCCCAGCAAAGATCCAGCACTTTGGACCCTGTGTTTTGGGATCTAGGGAATGTGATTCTTCCAGTTCAGGGGTTGGCAGATTGTGCTTCCAGGGCCAGATCTCTAGCCAGCTGCCTGCAAGCTAATAACGGCTTTTGCATTTTTATTTTTTTTGCTTTTGCATTTTTAAATGGTTACACTATAATCGGTAATGTAAGTACCTACATAATATTTAGATCTGCAATGCTGAAAATATTTACTATCTGGCCATTTAAGAAGTTTGCTGGTCCCTGCTCTAGGTGCTAGAAGAGAATACAAAAGGAAGGAAAACCAAAATAAACCTTCTTGGGACTTCGCTGGTCCAGTGGTTACAACTGTCTGCTTTGACTGCAGGGGGCCCGGGTTTGAGCCCTGCTTGGGAAACTAATATCCTGCATGACACAACATGGCCAAAAACAAAACCAAATGAACCTCCGCCTTCCCTCTGGCCCGCTTGCCCCTCATCTCATGGCAGTGGGGATGTCTCTTCCTGTCAGAAATCCTGATCCTTTTCCCATCTCAGCATCCCTACGCGTGTCTCTGAAGGTCCTCTCCCTATAAAGACAAGAACCCAGAAACCTCCCTCTGCCCTCACTCCAGGCGAGACGTGGCTCCTTTCGGGGTGCGGGTCTCTGTCGTGGAACCTGGCTTCTTCCGAACCCCTGTGACAAACCTGGACACTTTGGAGGCCACCCTGCAGGCCTGCTGGGCACGGCTTCCTCCAGCCACACAGGCCCTCTACGGGGAGGCCTTCCTCGCCAAATGTGAGTAGCTGGGCCCACAACGGGGCATATGAGGGGAAAAAAGGGTGCCGGAAGGCCAGTCCCGCATCAGCCTGCTGGGAGGAGACATGCGGGGCAGTCAGGGAGGGGGTGAGGGAGAACGAGGTGCCATAGGAGAACACCCCAGCCATAGGCAACCTGCCCATACCCCAAACTGGGGAAGGGACTGAGAACCCCAGGAGACACAGGCTGGGGCGGGCTGGAGCAGGACAGGGACCTGATCACAACCGTCCGCTGGGCTGCAGACCTGAGCGTGCAGCAGCGGATCATGAACATGATTTGTGACCCGGACCTGGCCAAGGTGAGCAGGTGCGTGGAGCATGCCCTAACTGCCCGTCATCCCAGAACCCGCTACAGCCCAGGCTGGGATGCCAAGCTGCTCTGGTTGCCAGCCTCCTACTTGCCAGCCAGCCTGGTGGATGTTGTGCTCACCTGGGTCCTTCCCAAGCCTGCCCAGACAGTCTACTAAATCCAGCAGTCCAGCAAGAGATGGTTGTTCAAGGCAAGGACTCTGATTTATTCTGTCTCCCACCCTGGTACTGCCTGGTGCCTGGCATATAACAGTCACTCAATAAATGTGTATTATTCAAAACAAAAAACACTGTGGGTGGGCAGAAATGAAGGTGCACAGTGGGAGTTCAGTTCAGTTGCTCAGTCGTGTCCGACTCCTTGTGACCCCATGAACCGCAGCACGCCAGGCCTCCCTGTCCATCACAAACTCCCGGAGTCTACCCAAACCCATGTCCATCGAGTCAGTGATGCCATCCAGCCATCTCATCCTCTGTCGTCCCCTTCTCCTCCTGCCCTCAATCTTTCCCAGCATCAGGGTCTTTTCAAATGAGTCAGCTCTTCGCATCAGGTGGCCAAAGTATTGGAGTTTCAGCTTCAACATCAGTCCTTCCAGTGAACACCCCAGGACTGATCTTTTCGATGGACTGGTTGTATCTCCTTGCAGTCCAAGGGACTCTCAAGAGCCTTCTCCAACACCACAGTTCAAAAGCATCAATTCTTAGGCACTCAGCTTTCTTCATAGTCCAACTCTCACATCCATATGACTACTGGAAAAACCATAGCCTTGACTAGATGGACCTTTGTTGACAGTGATGTCTCTGCTTTTTAATATGCTATCTAGGTTGGTCATAAGTTTCCTTCCAAGGAGTAAGCGTCTTTTAATTTCATGGTTGCACAGTGGGAGGCTGACCGCATTTAGCTCCTGACCTAGGCTGGGGCTTCCCTGGTGGCTCAGTGGTAAAGGATACACCTACCATGCAAGAGACGCAGGAGACACGGGTTCACCAACCACCGCCCCCTAAGCTGACGTCCTCCAGGGCCTCTGGCGCGTTAAGTACCTGCAAAACATCTAGTACCCACAAGGGGGCGCAAGGGGCCAGGCTTGCGTGTTTGAAGCTGCACCTAGAGACGTGCCCAGCAGAGGGCACTGTTGGATGTCGCCTTTCTGCGCGCAGTGAGGCTGAGGTCGCGTGTTCTAGAGCGGGATAGGGGTGTGGGGAGGTGGTGAAGGGGAGTCACGGCCAAGCTGGGTGGTTTCCATTGAAAAACGGGCACCCACCTCTTAAATTCTTCTATTATCTAAGGTAAGTCAAGAAGGACCTAAACTGGCCGCACCGGTATAAAAGTGACTTGTCACCGGCCCGAGAGAAGCCGGGCCCCCTTAAGCGTTAGTCGGGCAGGAGTTGCCGGGACCTCAGAGCTGGGCAGAAGGCCAGCGAGATGTCAGTGGTGGATGCAGGCTGGCCTCCCCCAGGGAGGGCCTTTGGAGGGAACCCCACTGACTTGGGAGATGGTTTCATGAACCCTTCGGCGCTGAGCCCGGCAGCACCGGAGGGCCATGGGCCCCAACCTGCACTGGGTCCCCACAGCCACTGCCAGACCGAAGAGAGCCCCGCCCCCGCCCCCAACAGGCCCCCTTTCCCAGAGGCGGGCTAGAACAGGGTCCCAGGGGGCGGGAACATGGATGAAGAGGGAGAACGGATAAAGTATCACTGTCTAAGACAAACTGAGACTGCTTCTCTTTGGGGTCTGAAAAAATAATCCGTTTAATTGAAAAACCTGGCGTATATTGCCCCACTCCCCCGGATGAGGGGGCTGAGGAGACAGACCCCCTACATCACCTCATAGCCGCTCCGGATGCTCTTCACAAGGCAACATGCTAAGACAATGCCCAGGATCTAGAAGGACAGAGAGACGGGGGTGGAGAGGAGCCGGGGAGGCAAGACAGAGACCCACCTCGAGACCCCAGAGACAAGCAGTGCTCCCCTCCACAGACCCGGCCCCTGCTCAGCACCCTCCTGCCGCCCCGAGTTCCCAGATCCCATGGGTGCCTCTCACCTCCACAAAGGCAATGCCCAGGGCCGCTGCAGCCACCACCAGCACATTCTTCCTCAGCCAGGCCGCAATCTTCTCCACACAGCCCTGGTGGGCGGCAGGCACATAAGACAAGACCCCGTCAGAAATTTCCCACACCCCTCTCCCCTGCCCACCTGGCTCCCCCACCCTCTGTCCCTTTCACCCCATCCTCAGCATTACCAGATTCCCTCCCAATCCCTGACGCCCAGTTTCCCAGAGCCCCAACCTTCTTCACCTCCACCTCAGTCCCTCTCACCTCCTGAAACATTTCCCAGCTTCCCCAAGCCCCCTACTATCTCAGCACCCTTCCTACCTCAACATGGATGTCCCTCACGATGAAATTAACCCCACAGTTATTGGTGACATTGACACAGCAGGAGTCCGGGACTCGATTGGTCATGGTTGGGATCTTCTCCCAGTCTGTGTAGTTAGCAGCCCCGCAGCACTTAAACTGGGGGAGAGCAGAGATGGGGGAGAGGCCGTTAAGTGACCCCATCTTCAACATGAAGGTAAGACTCTCCTTCTCCCACCCCTGCTCCCGGCAACCCCACTCACTTCTTTCTGCATCTCGTCCAGGATCGATGCCGTCTGGTTGTCTTTTGGATAATTCTGCATCTGCTGCCGGAAGTCCTTATTAAATTCTGATCTCACCTGGGAGTAGGGAGGAGCACCGTGGAGGTCAGAACTCAGGGCACCTGGGTCCCAGAGCAGCCAGGCCTCTGAGGCAAGGACTTACCCTCATTCCCTGCTTACCTTGTCTCTAAACACATAGCCAGCAATGGCTGCAGCCACTTCCACTAGCATGATAAGGGACAAGAAGATGGCAAACTGCAGGTGCGAAGGACAGGAGTCAGGTTTGGAGTCTGGGTGGGAGGGCCCTGCCGGTCTCAGGAACATTCACGGTTTCCCTCACCCACCCACCCCCGCAAACCCTGCCCAGAGAAATGCCCTTCCGGCAGCCCCAGGCACCCTCGCTGGCCCACCCCCACTCACCGTGATCATAAGACAGTAGTTCTCCTTGCAGGCTCCACAGCAGCCCACAAAGGCCACCAGGAAGAGGAAGGCACCCACTGCGATAATGACCACGGGCAGCAGGAAACCAGGGGTGGCCCCGTGGGTGATGGTCTGGTTCAGGATGAGGTGGGTCCCGACGCCCACCGCGATCAATCCCACCGCACAGGCCTGTGAGGAGGAGGGCAGGTCAGGACTCAAGACCCACCACCCACCAGCCCCCCACGGTGGAAGGCAGCGGGTGACCCAGGACACAGACGGAAGCCCACTGCAGAGAGACCGATTCTTACACCTCCAGGAAACTCCTGACAGTGGGGGAGGAGGCTGACCCATCCTTGCCCCACTGTGAGGGCTAGGCAAACTGTTCAAGGCTCTCTGAGAAAGCCATCAGGAGGAACCACATCTTCCTTCAAGCAACTCGTCACCAAATGCAAAAAAGAGAAGTTTCCAGTAAGCCTTGATCCCAGGACACACATGCCTCACAGACAGCAGTGCTTCCTTTGAGCCTCTTCCTGTGAGCCTCCAGGGCTCCCAGAATTGCCCTCTCACTATCCTCATCAGCGACCACATCCTCACCCTTTGCGAGGAGGGCGCCACAGGCCTGCTGGGCCTGGGAGAAGGGAGGGGTTAAAGGGGTCAGAGTGGCCGGTCCCTCCCTGGACAAACAGTAGCCTCTCAAGCCAGGAGCCCAGGACTGGAGCCATAGAGATGGGCAGAGCCCTTACGCACCCCGAGCGGCCGGCAGGGGCGAGGAGGAAATGAGTGGGATGAAGGGAGAGAAAGAACAGAGAAGCAGGGAGCGGAGGCACACCCGAGGCGAGGCGCGGGTAGGCGATAGCATCAGAACAGGCGGTTGGCTGGTTGCCCCACTGCCCCATATCACACGAGGCTGGGTCACCAGACAGGAAGGGCCCGGAGGGCTCGCGGAGGAGACCGGCCATTGTCGGCCCACACCAGCCTCAGAGGTTCCCGAAAGCTGGAGGAGGGGACGGCCGCGCTGGCTTCGGCTGCTGCCCGGGCTTTTTCCTCCCACATCTGGTCTCCAGCTGCCTTGATCGTTGGCCCCTCAGCCCTCAGCCCTCCGGAGCCAGGTCGCCCCGCACCCTGCCAGCACGCCCCCGCCGGCCCCGCTCCCCACTCACGCAGAAGGCCAACAGGAGAACGTAGAGCAGGAACTTGACACATTTCATTCCTCCTTCCACCGCCATGGCTATCGGGCCTGGGCCAGAGGGGCGGGCAGGGGGATCAGAGCCGGTCGAGGCGGGATCCCGCTTTCCGAGCGCCCCGCTGGCCCTCGAGACCTCCCCTGCGCGGCCCCCATTCCCGGCCCCTCCCACCCGGAAACCCGCGGTCTGATCCACGTCTTCCAGCCCCTCTGCTACCCGCAGGNCACAAGGGGAAGGCCAAGCCCCCCGCCCGGTCGAGGCCACGTGGCCCCGCCCGGAAGGCAGCGCCCACCCCCACCACGCGAGGGCACCCAGGGCAGGGCCTTGGGGTGCCTGAGGTCCTTCTGGCGCCCCCCGAAAGGGGCCACCGCAGGGTAGGAGCGCGGGACCCGGCGCTGCCCGGATCTCTCTGGCTCAGGGAAAGGGAAGAGACGTGTGAAAGCCAAAGGAGGGAGGAGCCGCCCGGAGTTAATCTCTGAGCGCCGGGTCCGGCTGCAGAGCTGAGGCGAGATGACTAGACGGTCTTCAGAAGACCCCCTCATCCTCCACCCAGAGTCCACCCCCTTCCTCTCGCTCCAACTCCTTTCCAGCCCGCCACCCCTGCCTCAGAGTCAACAGAGGAAGCTGCTGGCTCTCTGGGATCTGGTGGGGCCAGAATAAACTTTAAGAAAGGCACCAGCCTCACAGCTTCCAGCGTTCTAGACTGGGTGTTCCTGTCCCGCTCTGTTAACCCCTCCTCCGTTTTCTGGGGCTCCGGAGTCTTGGGCCGAGAAGTAGAGAAAGCCCTTCCCAACACCGTGTCACCCAGCCAATCAGGACACGTCAGAGTCAGGCTCCTCCGTCTGTGGGAGGGTGGCCCAGGTGGGCTCCCACCCCTCCGGGGTCTCCCCGTTGCGATGGAGGTTTGGGGGCCACCCTCACGCGGGCATGGCACTTATCCCCTGGATTGGCCCATCCCATCCTGGCGGACAGTCCAGAGGGCAAGGCCAAGAGAGGACTGGAAGGTGAGGGGGTGGTCTCAAGCTGCCTCCCTCCCTTTGAGCCATGGTGGTCCCCAGGAGCTCTGTGAACAGTTCAAGAACAACCAGCCCCGACAACCTGCCCACCCCGCCTGGGCCCCAGCCGTAGAGTCTTCTCATCCAGCCTGAAGAAGCATTTCCTGAGCCTCAGTATATGTCAAGGGAAAAAAACTAAGAGCAAAAGGAAGGCAATCTGGGCTGGGCAGAGAACCAGCTTCCAGGATCATAACCTTCCAGTAAGACACACCCAGGCCCTTCTGGACCTTGCATGCATGCATGCTAAGTTGCTTCAGTCCTGTCCAACCCTATGCAACCCCATGGACTGCAGCCCACCAGGCTCTTCTGTCCATGGCAGTCTCCAAGCAGGAACACTGGAGTGGATCGTCATGTCCTTCTCCACTTCTGGACTTTGTTTCCCAGTTATCACCGCAGGTGGGCTGTGCAGGAGGACCAAGATGCTGAAGAAAGGAGTATTCATCTGTTTCTGCCAGCCATGTGCTGGGCACAGGGCCAGTGAGGCAAGAGAACTGGTGGCCCATCCTGTGCCAGCAGGCAGAAGCAAGCCCGCACTGTGAACAGAGGCAGAAACCCCTGGTGGCAGCTGGGTGAGCTCAGAGGGAGGGACAGGTGGTGCCTCTGCCCCCGAGAAAAACAAAAAAGAGTGAATTTCACCGAGGTGGCGGGTGCTCTCTGAGGTGTGTGTGTTGGTCACTCAGTCGAATCCGGCTCTGTGACCCTATAGACTGTAGCCCACCAGGCTCCTCTGTCCATGGGATTCTCCAGGCAAGAGACTGGAGTGGGTTGCCATGCCTTCCTCCAGGGGATCTTCCGGACCCAGGGATCGAACCTGTGCCGCTTACGTCTCCTGCACCGGCAAACCGAGTTCTTTACTGCTCGTGCCACTTGGGAAGCCCCACTCTCCGAGGGGACTTTAGACAATGAAAGGGCAGTCGCTCAGTTCCAGGGACAAGGAAAGGGCCAAGTGTAAAAAGGATTAGTTTTAAAAGTCCATGGCAGGAACTTTCCTGGTGGTCCAGTGGTTAAGAATCTGCCTTACAAGCAGGAGACACTAGTTCGATCTCTGGTCCAGGAAGCTCCCACATGCCACGGGGCAGCGAAGCCTGTGTACCGTGACTGCCGCAGCCTGCACTCGCTAGAGCCTGTGTTCTGCAACCGGGGAAGCCAGTGCGATGAGACGCCCACACACCACAAGGGGAGAAAGCCCACAGGCAGCAGTGAAGACCCAGCGCAGCCAAAAATAAATCAATTTAAAAAACAAAGCCCTTCCAGTGCCTGGGCACGGGCACTAAAGACCCCGCATGGCATATTGGGGTTGGCTGGCTCAACAGGGCTGGGGAAGGGTCTGGTGACAGATGGTGGGCAGAGAGCTGGTCTACAGTCACGATTCAGAAACTTTAGCTACGAAAACACCAAGCATGACACTTGGTCTTTGACTGAATCTTTGCCTGAACAAACCGACTATGAAAGACATTTTAGGAAGAACTTGTTATCCAGTTGCTAAGTCGTGTCTGACTCTTTGCGACCCCATGGACTGCAGTCTGCCAGGCTTCCCTGTCCTTCTCCATCTCCTGGAACTTGCTCAAACTCATGTCCATTGAGTCAATGATCCCATCCACCCATTTCATCCTCTGTCACCCTCTTCTCCTCCTGCCCTCAATCTTTCCCAGCATCAGGGTCTTTTCCAGTGAATCAGCTCTTCTCCACAGGTGGCCAAAGTAGTGGAACAACTAGGCAAGTCTGAATATAATTGAAGATTAGACATGAGAAAATAATGTTATTAAATGATAGTATGATTATATAGGACATTTTCTCTATTTTTTTAAAGACGCATACTAAAATATTTCAGGGTGAAATGTCACATCTGTAATTGACCTTTGAATACTTCACAAAACAATAGATGAAGTGAAAAGAAGACAGTCTGACATGTACACCCATGACTGATTCATGTCAATGTATGGCAAAAACCACTACAATATTGTAAAGTAATTAGCCTCCAATTAAAATAAATAAATTAAAATAAAAAGACAGTCTGGGTGACGTGACTGTTAAGAACCTAGTGGCTGTGTAGGGTGTGTTCTCAAGGCAAAGGGGAGGATGGGAAATTACCAAGAGGGCAAATACTGACCTCCTGCTGAAAGGTGGAGGGATGAACGCTGGCACACCTTGGTCCAAGGCAGAGCTGATGAAGGCCAGAACCAGGGAAAGGAGGGGAAATCCTTGGAAAGGCCTTTCAGAGAGAAAATCAAAGGACGGGGTGACTGCCTAACTGTGGGAGCAGAAGAGGAAGTGGGAAGAATCTGAGATAACTTAGTTTCCAGACTTGGGAGCCCAAGGGAGGGGTGGTGGTCACCGAAGGTGGGAGGCACATAAGGTGCAGCTGGGTAGAGAGGTCCCACTTGGAATTAGGAATGTGAGACTCAGGAGAGAGGAGTAGTCAGACTAGAGAGAGAAAGTGATATTGAAATTCACAGACAGGGCGTCCCTGGTGACTCAGGGGTAAAGAAGCCGCCTGCTAATGCAGGAGACATGGGTTCGATCCCTGGGTCAGGAAGATCCCCTGGAGAAGGGAATGGTTACCCACTTCGTATTCTTGCCTGGAAAATTCCATGGACAGAGGGGTCGCAAAGAGTCAGACACGACGGAGCGACTAAACAGCAACAAATGCACAGAAGGGTGAAGGCCAAGGCAGGAGGATGCCGACAGGATCTCAGAAAACCCCTGCGTTTACGGGAAATGCGGGAGGGGCTGGCAGCAGCAAATAATCCGAAAGGGAATGGGAGTCGCAGAGCTGGACTCCTCACTCTGCCTGGCCCAGTGCTGGGCACTTAGAGCCATGAGTTCTCTTAATCTTAATGACCACCCAGCGAGGGCTGTGTCATTTGTCCTGTTTTGAAAGTGAAAGTGTTAGTCACTCAGTCCTGTCTGACCCTTTGAAACTTCATGGATTGTAGCCCGCCAGGCTCCTCTGTCCACGGAATTCTCCAGGCAACAATACTGGAGCGGGCAGACATTCCCTTCTCCAGGGGATTCTCCCGACCCAGAGTACGAACTGGGTCTCCTGCACTGCAAGCAGATTCTTTACCATCTGAGCAGAGATAAGGAAAATGGCTCAGAGGCAGGGAGTGACATGCCCTGAGTCCGAGCTAGTAAAGGGCATGGCTAGGGTTTGAGCCCAGATCTCTGGGGGTTCCAGAGCTGTTTCCTGCTATTTCCTCTGTCTCGCTCTCTCAGAGGCCAAGAGAAAGAACTTCAGAGCAGGAGGAGGGGACAGTGGCCAGAAGCACTTAATAGTAAAGAAAGCTGAGACGCAAGAGAAGGCCATTGGATGGGGTGGCATTTTCCAGAGCAGAGCCAGGGCAGGATCGTGAGCACCCCCTGGGTGAGTGTGGAGGCCTCCAAGCAGGCGGGGGGCGGAGCTGGGAGGAGGGTCAGGAGGATGGGACCCTCCTAGAGGAACACCAGGGGGAGGGCTGGGAACACTGGCAGGGTGGAGTGCTGGCAGCAGCTTGGAGGGAAAGGATGGGGCCGAGGAGACCCAGCGGAGCAGATCTGTGTGCCGCGGGAAGGGGGACGGCAAGAAAAGTCCGTTCCTAGTCACAGTCCTAGTCATGTTCACAGAGACAGCTATTGTCATTGTTCCACAGGGTATACAGCTTCTGATTCGGAAGATGAAGAAAATCCGGAGATGGATGGTGGTGACAGCTGGCAGAACACATGAATGTACTCAGAGCCACTGAGCACTTTCAAAGGAGCTAAAATGGTCAATTTTGTGTTGTGTCTATTTTAACGCAGATTTTGTGCTGACATTTTGTTGACTTACAGTGTTGGGTTAACTGCTGCTGTCCAGCACAGTGATTCGGTTACACATGTACACGTTCTTCCTTGTGTATAACCATGTATAACCAGGACCCTGAACACGGGTCCCTGGGCCGTACTGCAGGACCTTGTTGCTTATCCATTCTACAGGTAAGAGCTCCGGGAAGTCCCTGGCAGTCCAGTGGTTAGGACTCCGTTCTTCCCCTCCAGGGGGCACAGGTTTGATCC